GGGAAAAAATACGGTATGTGCACATACCGTATTTTTTCCCGAACTGTCCTGCGCGCCCGGACTGTTCAGCGATTTTATAACACGTGAATTCACTGACGATAATGATTCCACCTAACGAAAAACCTGCGTTGTATGTCCGGGAAGTATCGGCGCGCAGGACAGGTTGGAAAAAAAATACGGTATATGGATTCACATAGTAATTTAATTGACTGCCTCCACCTGTGCCAGGTCCTAAATGGCGTTTACGTTTCTAATTGATTTAAATCTTAAAAAGGACCGAGCTGAAATTTAGTTGTCTTATTTTAAAAGCGGCAGATCTTGTTTTGGCTACTGTCGAATGGTTTCCCGTTGGGATGGTCGTATTTCGCGTACTATCTACTATATTTAATCCGTCTCCACTCTTGAATTCTGTACGTCAGTAGCTGTAAGCTTAGTTTGTGGAAATAAGAATCCGCGGCAGGATTCGTATACGAAAATGATAAATTGAGCATCCGCTTGCCGCATTGTTAACCCTGCGGACGCTTGTGCAAGTACTCTTGCGGGTTAAAGTCGCTCGTGAAAGGAAGAAAGTAAAGATGAAATCTCTATCGACGATCGAAAGTTCGGATGAGTTCATTCGAATGGCAATTACGCTCGTATCGACCCCGCGAAAGTGGAACTCGGAAAAGCAGAAGCCCAGCCGTGTAGAGTTTTTCCCGTTAACCCGGCTATTAATTGATATCGTTCGCGACGCCCGAATTGCATTATCAGCGACGATTACGATTCGTAATCGTAATTTATCGTGCAGCCCGCTATTTATCTAATCTAATCGATTGCCTCGGTCTATTGGCTCACAACATCAGTCACGCTTGCCCTGTTTCGAAGATTATTACATAGTTAATTACACGAAAGAGAGAGAGAGAGAGAGAGAGAGAGAGAGAGAGAGAGAGAGAGAGAGAGAGAGAGAGAGGAGAAAAAGAAAAACTTAATTGATATTAAACGCGGAGTAATCTGGCAAAGTATTAATACGCCATTCCCTTTGGCATGCTATCATATTAATTATCTCACTTTGGTATGTATCTTCTTGTTAATATATTAACGGACTTCATTAATATAATTGCACTTAGTACAGAATGTCTTGTAATTGAAGTAATTATGTCGGGGATAATCCTGATTGCTAATAGCTTCCGACTGAAGGTTCAGGCCGATCGAGAAGAGAACTCCGTATACGGTTTCTATTATGTACCTCGACTCGTTGAACGTGTCCATTACTAAACTGGGCAGTATTGTTCGGCAAAGCAGCGCACTTCGATCGCGATTTGTTTGTATAACGCGAGCAGAATAGATACTTAACAGATAGGATAAAAGTGTCACGCAGCAGCTATCTCTTGCCACTTGGGGAGCACGAAACGCAATCGCGATGTCAAGTTTCTGGCAAACACTGGTTTTTATCATGGAAGCGTTGTGTCCGCACATAGCGTACATTGGATATTGCACCGTACGATAATAAGCGTTGTCTATGTGCAACGTGCATTGTTCGAATGTTGCAGCCATGGTGTAAAGAGTGAAACATTGTAACCAATTCTGGGGGCAAATTGTTCATTGGTTCATTCTTCCTGCATTCAACCGCAATGATTTGCAGCTTGAAGGTTCAGGCAAATTTCTGATTGGTCAATTCGGTAGTTTGGGCCACTTCTGATTGGCTGACACTCCGCATCCACCTGATCGCCTTCACCTTGTATCTTTACACCATGGTTGCTGCGATCGTTAACGTATTGGAAACCGAAAGCGCACCGTAAGAGATAATTAAACGGATTGCGCAGCGATGAAAAAAGTACGAGTCCAGGTAGCGGGCTGACGTTATTTGTCGTCATTTTGACGTCAAAATGACGACAAGCCACGTCAGCCCGCTGGGAGAGTGTCCCTTTTAAATATATTCGATAAATATACGTCGCGACACCATGTAAAAATAACAGTGTAGGCGTGTCCTAAGTGATATCTTTGTGGGAAAAAAAAAGTAAGCTCCTAATTGATCAAAGAAGCGCTAAATTGTTTCTACATGAAGTCCACGTAAGAACGTTTTATGGGACATTCCGCGCGGCGTATCGGTGATATGGCCTGTGTGCACAATTAAAGATCGCTATTACCGGTTATCATTACTTAACCGGCGTTCAAGTGATATTAGCTGACGCATCGGTTTGTTAACTCGCCGACACGGCGCTGGCGCGCAATTCCAAAGGCAACGTTCCCGTTAGACGCGAGGAAACCATAGAAGAAAACCACGGAGGGGAAAAAAAAAGTAGCTGGTCAACGTAATCCGAGCGTGCTGCGTGCCATGTACTCGCGAATTTCTATCTCCCTCCCCCTTCCCTCCCACCCCGCGGGGAGGGATAATAAGTTGTAACGCATATACTATCCGCAAGAGCGAAAGCTCGTCCGCAGCTACGCCAGTCACGCATGCGTTGTTGCAAAACCGGCGAAAGTAAAGATTCGCTTTCCTAGCCGTTATATTATTAATATAACGTCTCGCGGGTGCGATATAACTTAATTGCAAAATTATAACGCACGAGAGAGAGAGAGAGAAACTGCCGGGGTAAAGTCGACGGTCGACTGCGACGCCCGCGACACGCCGAGACTTCGGGAAGTTACGGCCTATTCCGTTTCAATGCAGTCATTATGCCACGATTGATTCAACGAGAACTTTGCACGGTGAGCTATTGACGAAAAGTTTGCATGCCAATTTGCAATAGATAGCAATTACGTAATGTTACGTAACGCAAATAAATTAACGGCCCCGACGAAAGAGCTTTCAAGATGATCGCTGTAATACGTTCGCGCGCAGTGGCCCCGGATAATTTTATACCCGAAATGAGTAAGTAATAAGCGATGGTGTTGATACGTAAAAAAAAAACTGAGGTCCACGCACACACGCAAATTATTAATTCTTCTGATTCTGAACAATTGCAACTCGAGAACTGACGTACAATATTGTTACTTCACTTATTTTCACAAGAGGTAAACCACCGATCAAAATCATGTACACCAGTGCCCAATGGGCATTACTTAATTTTGTTATCTTATTTTATCTTATTTGTCTTGTTTTATCTCCTCCTTCCTCGTGTATTAAGACCTAAAGCCTGTTTTGTCCAGTTTGTTCTGATAACTTGGAGCATTTGGTTTTACTTCGTCTTCGACGGGCTGCTAGCCTTGCCGAAGGAAACCTCCAATCTGAAGGGTTATACCCCTTTTCTTTATGCGTGGCGGGATACCCTCGGTGGTTGCCACTTCCCTTCGGGAGGTTCCGAAAAAACCAGCGGTGTCCGTGGATTTCAACTCGGATCTTTTCGGCCATTTGTTTACTGACCAGCGCACATTTCTCTGCGCCACACTCGCCACCTTTATCTTATTCTATCTTTATAATGCCCCAGCAAGGTCTAATGCCCAAACTAATGCCCAACAATGCCCAGTAATGCCGCAAATCTGTACACCGCAATGCCCTCAGCGCACGTACAGAAAGAATTTCTGAATCCAATGCTATTACACTTGAATATATCATAAAATAGGATCGATACAGCGCCATCATATTTGTTATAGAGAAAGGAATATTTTAATCTTAGATGAAAAATTCTAAAATTTAGACTCGTCTTTTGTCTAAAATCGTGACGTCAACTTCTTGCGTTGTAAGATGCAGGGAAAATTTATTCTAAACGCAAGAATATACAAACTTACACTTATGTAAGTTACTCTTGTCTCAATATAATGAGTCATTCTGTTTTAATTCGATAGAGGAAAGTAAGAATTATTGATTTTATTTTGATACCGTCTTATTTTTATACTAAATGAGGTTGTGAGAAATATAGATGCGTCGAGAATATTTTTTGTCTTACAATTAGTAACATCCTAAATCCTTTCTGAGGGTGTACGCTCGACGTTTCTCGTACATTATTTTTTGGTCACAAAGTGGGATTTATTAAAAAAAAAAGCTCTAAATCCGAACGCATAAAGAGCAGAGAACTGCGGGCAGCTCGTGTTTGCGTGGCACGCAGGGTCACACGAACGGTGCGCACGTGGAGGTGCGAAGATTCGTTTAGGTGGCATGCGAGAGTCCGCTGTCGCAATTAGCGCGGCGGCGCCGCGACGCACACGTTTCAGAAAGAGAGAAAATGCGGTTTTTCGCCTGCGAAATGGCGTCATCGCCGTAAACTCATCTCGAGCACGAGCGAAAATTTCAAGCTACTTTATATCGCTTTATATTTACAAAATTGTCGTTGTCGGTAAATCCAGGGTATTTACGCGTACAATCGTCCACACGACAGCTTTCGCGATTATTTTTCGCGCGCATATACCGCCTGTTATCTTCCAGTTTGTGAGCCACCAAGTGAAAATTCTTCTGAAAAAATGCCACGGTAGGCGGCGAGATGCGGCGAGAGTTACGCCGGATTTCACACGCGTCACCGCGCGTGCGGATGGGCACGAGTCACTCTTACATCGACCTGGGTCGTAATGCTCGACGAGCTACTCGTTTAATAGGATTACTAGTTGCGCTTCTCTAGGTCACGCGGCAGCGCGAAGCCCGTGATAGGTATCTTTTAATCAGCGGGGCGACCTAGACTACAGGTGCGCGTGTGTGCGTATATACAGGGTGTCCCCAGAAAAAAAGCTCGGTCATCCTTTCATTGACGGATTCTGTACGTTAAAAAGAAAATGTTCGCTACCGTAGCTAATCATAGTTCGCTAAAACTATTTTGCTGCCGTGATTATAAATTTCTAAAGGTTGACTTACTATATAGAGACCAGAGTAACTTGTACGAATGTAAGTTTATGTATTCTTGCGTTTCGAATAAATTTTCCCTGCATCTTACAGCGCACGATATTAGACAAAAGACGATTCTAAATTTTAGAATTTTTCATTTAGGATTAAAATATTTCTTTCTCTATAATAAATATGATTGGCGCTGTATCGATCCTATTTTATGATACATTCAAGTGTAATAGCATTGGATCCGGAAGTTTTTTCTGTGGGTGTACCTGTCCGTGTACCACACTGAGAGACTCATTGTTGAATGAAACAAAATTTAGTTGACTCAACTGAATTTCTTGTCTGGATATGAGCAAACAAATCTTCCAGTTGGTACAACAAAATTTAGTTGAAAAATTCGGTTATATCAACACAAATTTGGTTGAATGAACATGCGCAGAATCCTTTTATAATATTCAACTAAACGATTCAGTCAACAAAATGATTCAATCAAATTGTTTTGTTTCATTCAACAAAATGGGTCTCTCAGTGCATGCGCGTAAGATTCCCGCAAAATGATTAGTCAGCGACAAGCGGTTCCCACTAAGAAAACTATAATATCCTCGACATTTTTACATAAGGATTTTCATCCGACAATGAGAATGTTCTACAGAATCCGTCTGGGTTATCGAGCTTTCCGGGACACCCTGTATACACAGCTTTCGTCGACGAGACGAAAATCACTGATGCATCTCCCGCGCTCTAATGTACGGTGTACAATAGCAAATTTATAGCTGCTTAAGCAAAGCCTTCTCACGCGCGCCCGCGTTATTTCGAAACGATAGACGAGCGGTGAGTTACTATTACGAGAAAGAGAATGGCTAGCTCGTTCCCTCGACGGGCCGGTAACACGCGCCACTCTCCGTCGCGCGCGTAGAAAAGCCGAGATAAACGAAAGGGGCCGAAAGGCGTTTCCTTTCTTGCAAACCGCGTCCGATAACACGTCGCGGAAAAGAAACGAGGGACCGATAGCATCGCCGGATCTTGCATGAAAACTGTTTGCGGAAGAATCGAGAGAGTCCGGTGGAGCGAGTCCGCTTGATGAAAGTCCGATAGAGTTTCGATACGTCACGACATTTTTACTCATAATATCGTTGCAATATGATACACTTTCGTCCTATTTATCACAGCTGCATTTGCGCCGTAATCCCATCCAGGATTCTTCATTCCTCGATAAAAATCAAAGTGACAAATTTTTGACGTTTTTCGATGCGCTAAACTGATGGGAGGCGATACACTGAGACACCAATTTTGATGAATGAAACGAAATAATTTGATTGAATCATTTTGCTGACTGAACATGTAATTTGGTTGTATGATACGCAAAATATGTTGCTGAAAAGAAACATTACAACTATCTTATTTCCACGAGTTGAGATAACAAATTCGTCCATTTCATCAAGTCCTAAATAATTGTGTTTGTTGCGTGAACTAAATCGTTCAGTTGAATATTATAAGAGGATTCTGCGCATGTGCACTTGAGCAAATTTGTGTGTTGATATAATCAAATTGTCCAACTAAATTTTATTGTTGTATCAACTGAAAGGCTTGTTTGCTCACATCCAAACGAGACATTCAGTTGAGTCAACTAAATTTTGTTTCATTCAACAAAATGGGTCTCTCAGTGTACAGGCTAGAAGAGTAAGATTCGTGTATCGTTTTGCAGAAAAGGAGTTCGCGTCGTACCGACAACTTCGCGCCCGCATAAGTAAGCTCGAGGTGATTCGACAGGAACAGGGAAGTCGTGGTTCCTTTCACTCAACTACATTTCCTCGAGGCATGGATGCAACAAGGAGTTTCCTGTTCAGTAGGTGCCAAACAATGCAGTTCATCCTTCGCGAACAGGAGGGGATATCTGCAGCGAGGCAGACCACGAATCTCGGATTTGTTCGCACGACAACGAGCGGAGGAAATAGGCGCTTCCTGTGCGGAAATTCACGATCTTCGCGACGGAAGCCCGAGGGAGACCGCAGACGACGTTGCAGGAACAGCTGAGAGAATAACTGTGCCGCGCAAACATTGCGGTTCTACGAGCGGAGTTGACGCTCGGCGATATGCGAAACAAATGTTCCAGTCTTCGATATCGATTTAGAAGAAATAACCTTTGCTGATAAAATTTTTGTCTAAAATCTCAAGTCTAATTCTGATGTTCCTGGGCTTCGGTAGATAATCAATAACGTCAAAGAAATTCTTCGGAGACCCGATCCGTATTCGTGTCTGTCTGTGAAAGCGATAACACGTGTGTGCATACGTGTGCGCGCGTCAAGTGTTGTAAATTCCACAAAGCGAACTCTCTGGCACTCACCCGAAGTATCGAAGGCGGAAATCTCAAGGCGTCACGCGGAGACGGCTAGAAGAGTTTATCTCGAAATACACTCGGTGGACGGTGCATGAGATGCGCCTTGAAGCGTGAAAAAAAAAGGAAGTGGACACGCGAGCGTCAGGTCGACGCGCCCGGAACGCGGACTATTTCTGGACATTCCCCGGAGGATTCGTTGTGAAAAATTCGGTTCCTGGTTGCGCTTAGTTTAGCGCGTTTCGCCGCACCGGGAATCGTCCTCGGGGTAGAACCGTCGGGCGACTAACAGTCGCGCGATCGCAATCTTTTCTTTCGGGCGCGCCGACGAAGTTCGCAGATCAATCTTCAAGTTTCATTAAACTTTTATCGCGGTCTACAATCGCGAATGTTGTATCAGGGTTCGAGAAGCGTGGAATGTTTATAAAATCGTCCCTGTGTACAGTTCTACGTGCGACTTTCCTCGCGAAGCAGTCAAATTTTGTCGCAATCATTTAAACGGAAAAAAACATACGTAAATTAAAAGTAAGAAGAAGGTTCACTATGATACACTGAGAGAAAAAATTATTGAGATGACTAAATACAGTTAGTCGGCAGTATTTCTTTAGTTTAAGTACACGTGTCTTTCAGTTATACGATGAGCATATAACAATCGTCATAGATTTGAATGGTTTTCTACCAGTTTATTAATGGAATGGAATACGTCGCCCGTACTTCGCTTCGACCGACATTCCCGGTTGCGATAGTATCCGTCTCAATTATAAACGCTAATTATTTCGGGAAACCGTGCGACTGATTAGGCCGAGTCTGCATAATTGCGGTAGAAAAAACAAGTACCTCAATTATGTATAATATCCGGTATCGAGACATACGCACGCGGTATCGGCCTTCTGTTTTCCCCCGACGTGACATATCGACGTAACGCTCGGACATCGCGTATATAACCGATTACGTTACGCAATCCTCGTCAACAATATACTCCGGCTCGTCAAGGTGCGATGAGTCACGAAAACATGGGATTGAACGGGAGGGGAAAAAAAAAGATATGCCCCGATCCTGCCAGGATTCGAACCTGGAATCTTCTGATCCGTAGTCAGACGCGTTATCCGTTGCGCCACAGGACCAATTGATTACGACATAGCTTTAGATGACCCATCCAGGATTACGAGAGTCAAATGTAAACAAGAGATTGATACCTTTAATATTCGGTTAAACTATAAAAATGTAACTGTTAACAAAAATAATGCGACGCAAGGAACGGTATTTTATACTGTTGATAAGGCACGAGGGTCCTCCTTTGTTAATTGTATTTATAATGTACATTATTTATTATAGATAATGGCTGAATATCTAGAACTGTTTGCTGTACCAAGTTACACAAAATTTCCTCAGCCCGCGTCGAGACTGCTACGTAAATGTTTTATTTATTCCGGAGCAGTCTATCGAGACTGCTACGTAAATGTTTTATTTATTCTGGAGCAATATGTATCAATCATCTATATGTGCAAATAAAGAGATAGAATCGAAGTGATCAAATGTCCCAGTTTTCGAGAACACGGCCTTCCTGGACGTCCTTACAGATTTTAACAATAAGATTTAACAATAAATTATTTTATATTTTGACACGTACATCTCGTCACGGCTCAGAGCCCTTTCTCCTTGATTCTGATTTATATCATACGAGCCTTTGTCACACACTTACAGATTTTTTTTAATTACAATCGTTTAACGACTAAACTATCAGCTCTCAGTTAATAAACACTTTTCAAGGCTCGCAACGATACATCTCTGTTAATAAATTTCACGTTACACCCAACGCTTATCTAATTCCAAAGAAAAAGGCAAATCCATATTATATTAAATGAATAGAAATAAGGAATTGTAAAATGAAGAATAGTCCAGCCTCACCGAACTAATAAAAATAAGAAACTGTAAAGTAAAAATAAAGGATGGTCCAATCTCAGCTTCTTTCTAAAACAGACACACATTTGCTGAGAAATCTGGGCAGCCATTGCCACCGGGATAAATTATCGAATCGAGTATTAAAGAAACAAGAATAATTTGTCTAAGTTTATCTTCAACATTTCTTGACAAAACGTTAGATTCCGTCTCGCGCGGAGTCTCGTTGGATTCTAGAAGACGTTCAAAAGAACGACGTCAGCTCCCGATTTCGACGAGCGGCTCTGCGCCGGTAATTTCATTATACTCGTGCAATATGCCTGGCGCAAACACCCGTCTGGCACGTCCGTAAATCGCGGAACGT